TTTCACATGGGAAACACCGGCTTCTATAGTAAGTCACAGGACAGCAAGAGAATCAGTTTTTGCAGGGATGGCAGGAAGTGCCGCAGAGAAATCTGTCACTTTTAGTAAAAGACAAAGTGTATCTCCCTCGCTTCTCTATATGTGCTCATAGCAGCCATATTCATAAGAGCCCAGACGATGAGCAGCCCAAGGGCTCGCCCTCTGGCGACAGGATGAGTGGGTTGAATTGTGTCCATGCAGTACAAAGCCACTCAGCCGGAAGAAGAAACTGTGGGTCCATACAACATGGCGAATCTCAAACATGCCATGCAAAACCAACAAAGCCAAACACAAAGGCTCACGCCTGTAATCCCAGCTACTCAGGAGGCTGAGACCTGAGGATCATGGTTCAAAGCCAGCCTGGGCAGGAAAGTCTGTGAGACTCTTATTTCCAATTAACCACCAGAAAACCAGAAGTGGTGCTGTGGTTCAAGTGGTAGAGCACTAGCCTTGAGCTAAAAAGCTAAAAGAAAGCACAAAGCAGTGTGTTCAGTCCTCTATATTGCGCATACATGTGTGCGTGCGCGCACACACACACACACACACACACACACACACACACACACACACACACACACACACACACACACACACACACACACACCCTGAGTCCATATTCCCAGCACTCCAGAGGCTGAAGCAGGAGGTTATCGAATGCAAGGCTAGCTTAAGCTGTGTAATGTGGCCCTATCTCCAAACAAAAAAAAAAAAAGAAAGAAAAACAAGTAGCTATAGGATACAAACAAACCAATAATGACAACAGACTCAACCACAAGGAAGGGTTAAACTTATACATTAAATCAGGTGGTAAAGTGACTAATGCTGTCCCTCCCATCCCAGGGAGAGACTGTTTCTTGTGGCTAGGAGCTTCTCTTTAACATGCTTGGATTCCTCCTGTGAGTAGATGAGGATCTGAGTTTATGTTCGCTCTGAGTCAAGGAGCGCTTACATTCTGTTTCTGTAGATCACTGTCCTCTGAGCAGGGGAGATGCTGGAAGGTTTTGGCTGGGGCAGCACCTGGGTCAGGAAGACTTGTAAGACGTGAAGTGGCCTGGGGGTGATGGGCCTGGGTGGAGTAGGAAGGCCAAACCCTGTGCATCTGCAGCCTGCTGTGCCCGGAGCTGCAGTCTCAAGGGCATGCTTTCTTCTGTCTGTAAATTACGCTTCAGCTTTAGAGAAAGCCTACTGCAGTAGTGCATGAGGAATCCAAGTGGGACTGAGGGCTTCTTGGTCAGCCTAGAGCCTCTGGCTTTAGAACACACAATGTGGAAGAAAGCTGAGGAAAGGCAGTGAGGCCTGAGAGTAAACTTTCCCCGCCCCCTTTTTTGTTGTTGTCGGTGTGGGGCTTGAACTCTGGGCCTGGTTGCTGTCCCTCAGCTCTTCAGCTCAAGGCTAGTGTTCTATCATTTTGTGCCATAGTTCCACTCCTGGCTTTTGGTGGCTCATTGGAAATAAGAGTCTCATGGCCTGGTTTGAATTTGAATCGCGATCCTCAGATCTCAGCCTCCTGAGTAGTTAGGATTACAGTCGTGAGCCACTGGTGTGCTAGCTCATTTGTGTGTGTGTGTGTATGTGTGTGTGTGTGTGTGAGTCTTAGGGGTTTGAGCTCAGTCGAGGTGTTGTCCTTGAGCTACTGCTTTTGCTGAAGGTTAACACTATGCCACTTTCAGCTGTTTGGTGATTAATGGGAGATAAGAATCTCAGGGATTTCCTGCTTGGGTAGCTTCCAACCATGGTCCTCAGATCTCAGCCTCCTAAGTAGCTAGGATTATAGCATGAGTCCTGAGTACCCAGCACTTTTTTTTTGGGGGGGGGGGGGCTGGTACCAGAATTTGAACTCAGGACCATGTGCTCTTTCTCAGCTTGCTTACTCAGGGGGCACTCCGTCACTGGAGCCACACTTTTTTTTTTTTTCTTTCAGTACTGGAATTGGAACTCCGGGCCTTAAACTTGCTAGGCAGGCACTTTACCACTTGAGCAATGTTACCAGCTTAGATGTGTGTGTGTGTGTGTGTGTGTGTGTGTGTGTGTGTGTGTGTGTGTTGGTGTGTCCTGGGGCTTGAACTCAGGGTCTGAGCACTGTTGTTGAGCTTTTTAGCTCAAGGCTGGTGCTCTACCACTTGAACCACAAAGCTTCACTTCCCTTTTGGGTGCTTCATTGGAGGTGAGCGACTCACAGACCTTCCTGCCTAGGCTGGCTTTGAACCATGAGCTTCTCAGATCTCAGCTTTCTAGCTAGGATTATAGGCATGAGGTACCTTTGCCTAGCTAATAAATAGTATCTTTTTTTTTTTTTTTTTTTTGCCAGTCCTGGGGCTTGAACTCAGGTCCTGGGTGCTGTCCCTGAGCATTTTTGCTCAAGACTAGCACTCTCCCACTTGAGCTACAGTGCTATGTCCAGCTACTTCTGGAACTGGAGATAAGTCTCATGGATTTTCCTTCCCTGGGCTGGCTTCGAACCTCAATCTTCAGATCTCAGCCTCCTGAACAGCTAGGATTATAGGCATGAGCCACCAGTGCCTGGCCATAAATAGTTCTTATTTGCTGGCACAAGACTCATTTTCCCCTCTCTTCTCCAAAAAATTAGACTGTGCAATGTCCTTGCTGATTTACAGTATACCATAAAGATGGAAGCCAGGCTGCACAGTGCAGCCTCTGGCCAGCCCAGGCTGAAAACTGCCTTTCTTCAGGCTTTTGAAGATTCCTGGGAAGTTGTTGAAAACCGTTTGGGACTTTGTAAGTGGAGTTTACAGGTCCTTTCCATGTTTGGGAAAACTGGGCTAGGAATTGGTTTTGGTCCCTAATTCACTGTGTCCTTGGGTGACCCCTAGTGGCAATGTGTGACAAAACACATCCAGCATGGATGGGTTTCACATCTGTATCAGATTTTGTTGATATGTTTCCTTTTGCTGCAGGTAGGTCCTGGGTAGAAATTCTTTCAGTATATTATTGTGTTGTAGCTTGATCTTTAGTTGTTACAGTCCTGGTATTTGCTTTTCAGTGTGTGTGTGTGTGTGTGTGTGTGTGTGTGTGTGTACATCTGCTGGGATTACAGGCATGTACAAACACACCCAGCTTAATCACATACACTGAATGCCTCTTCATTTGACAGCAAATCCAATGTATATTGTTACGTAGTTTGCTTCCTTGTGTTAGACATGAAACCCAGGGACATGTGCGTGCCAGATAATCACTTTACCACTGGGACACAGGCCAGCCTATTGTGTTGCTTATGATGAACCTCTATTCATGGATGGCCTACGTTTTTTTTTGTTTTGTTGGTTGTGGGGCTTGAACTCAGGGCCTGAATGTTCTCTAGTTTTTGTGCTCAAGGCTAGTGTTCCACCACTTTGAGCCACAGCTCTACATCCGGTTTTCTAATGGTTAATTGGAGATAAGTCTCAGGAGCTAAGCCCTGGTGGCTCACAACTGTAATCCTAGGATCAAAGTTTGAAGCCAGCCTGAGCACGAAAGTCTGTGAGACTCTATCAATTAATCACAGAAAAAGTCACTAGTGGTACTGTAGCTCAAGTAGTAAAGTGCTAGCCTTGAGCAGAATGAGCGTAAGGACTGTGCCCAGGCCCAGCCAAAAAAAAAAAAAAAAAAAAAAAATCACACGCTCCGTCCTTGAGACCTAGCCCCAGCCCGTTAGCTTCTTTTTTTATAACCCTGGCTGGCCTTGAACTCAATCGCAGCCTCTGCTCCTCAAATTTACAATCTTCCAGCCTATGCTGCCCACATGCTTGGATTATAAGCATGTGTCACTTTACCCAGTGTCGTCTGTGCCCCCCCTCCCCACTGCCCCCCATGAAACACTACCCAGATCTTAATACTTGGTTTAGGGAGTGGGAAAACTCCTTTTTCCCAGTCTTGACTTCTCCAGCTGCCACCATTACCAGACCCTCTCCTTTCTGTCCTTGCAGGACCGCTCTGCTCATCTCCTGCAGACGCTCCTTTGCCATGGGTCAGGGCCCAGTCCTGACCTCTCCTGGCTGCTGCGTGAGTCTGGGTAGAGGGTGGCTGGCTTGGGGTCCGGCAGGGCCACTCTCTTCTGCTGAGGCCTGGCCTTCTTCAGGCCTTGGGGGCCACAGTGGTCTCGCAGAGGACTGCCGGCCCATTGTCAGGCCAGTGCTGTGGGGGCTCCCTCGGTGCAGAGCCCCACCCCACTCCTGACCTGTTTGTCGCTGGCTACAGTGAGGGGCGCAGCAGGCTGAGGCTGCTCTGGCCCTGTGTGTGTGAAGGACCGCAGTGTATGGGTGTGGCTGGCGCTGGCTCCTCTGGAGGTGAGTCGGGGATTTGTGGGGTTCTGTTTGGAATGGAGAGAAGCGCTAGGGCTGGCACAGGATCCCCACTGTTCAATGCTCCCATGGCCCCTGGCCTCTGGCAGCCCGTGATGGGTCCAGTAGCGGTCTCTGATCTGCAGGGATGGTTGAGGGGCCGGAGGCCCGGGGGAGATGTTACAAGCAGCTCATAGGGGCAGCTCTGCCCTCCTGCCCCGTCCCCGCCAGCCCCCCACCCCTGGGCGGCAGGGGCATGTCTCCCGCGGCAGTGTTGCAGGCTGACAGAGGGGCGTGGCAGGCTGTGGCCGACGGTGTGGTCCTGGATGGGGGAGGAAGGTAGCTGCGGCTGCTGAGCAGTCACCTCCCCCTCCCCTAAGCCACTGGGCCACCCCCCCCCATTACGAGTCACATAGTCCTTTCTCCCAGGACTACCTGAGCGAATCCAGAGATGCAGGCTCCAGTCCTGAGAACGGGGTGACCTTCAACTCTGCTCCCCCAGGGGCCGGAGCCCTTACCTGATTGGCCCCAGTGCACGCTGCAGGCCTCCCTGAACATGGAGCCTACTCACTGAGGGACCCCACGGCTAGAACACCCCCTGCCCCTCTCCGGGCCAGGCAGGGGCCCAGGGCAGCCTCTGGGATGGCAGGTGGGGGGGAGGCAGTCACAAATGCACAGACGAGCGGCGGTGCTCAGCTGTGTATTTCAAACAAGCCCCCTCAGTGCCCCCTCCCCCGCATGCTCTGCGCAGGACAGCGCAGGGGAGCGGCTGCTGCGCCCTGAGGGGCCGCAGTGAGCGTGTTGGGGGAGCCCGTGGGGAATGGCATGGCATCCGGTGCCAGGCCCCGGGTCCGGCCTCGTGAGTCTGAGGCGGCCTCTCTGGAGGCCCTTAGCGCCTCCCAGTGCTTCCCTTGGCTCAGCTCCAGGCGATGGGCCGGGCGGGGGTGTGAGGCTCCCTTCTGGGGTCTGGGGCCCAGTCTCCGCCTGACTGTGTGCTCTCTAGCAGGAGCCAGGCCAGGCCCCTTGGTCCTCAGTGTGTGTGTGGGGGAGGGTGGCGGGGGGGGGGGGGGGGGAGGGGCGGGGCCAGGCAAGGGGTGGCCTAATCGTCCTTGTCCTTGGCTCCATGCTTGAGGATGCGCGTGAACTCCACATAGTTGAAGTTGCCTTTCTTGTCGATGGGGGCCTCACGATACATCTCGTCCACCTCCTCGTCTGTGAAGCGGTCACCCATGGTGGTCAGCAGCTCCCGGAGGTGGTCCTCATGGATGAAGCCTGGGGCCAGAGGGGGATTGTGAGCGGAAGCACCAGGACGCCCCACCCCCATCTCCCATCCCGACTAGAAGATAGGCGTTGGGGGGGTGGGTGCCGAGGAGGGTCCTAGAGGGGAGAGTTCTGCAGGAGAATGGCCTGTAAGGGGTTTCTGTGGGGCACATGCCTAGGTTGGGGTGCAGATCTGCTGTGTGGCCTTGGGCGAGTTACTTAACCTTTCTGTGCCTGCTTGATCTGTAAAGCAGACAGATGTCTGTTCAAGGGGGACAGCACCCGCAGGGGGGCAGTGGCAGTGATCAAGCAGGGATGGGCCCCCTGGGAGCTGTTACGTCACCAGGGCACTGCGTGTCCCTGGGAAAAACTAGCTAGATGACAGAAGGTCTGAGGGACGGGTTGGTGTCCTTGCTGCTGTGGGAATGGCATGGTCTGGTTTTCTGGAGAGATGGGAAGCAGGGTCGTGTGTGTTGGGGAGGGGGGGGCAGGGCCCTCCCATGTCCCGCCGCCGGCCCTCGGCCCGCGCTGACCTGAGGCCTCCTCGTCGAAGCAGGCGAAGGCGTTGCGGATCACGTCCTCGGGGTCTGTGCCGTTCAGCTTCTCCCCAAACATGGTGAGGAACATGGTGAAGTTGATCGGGCCCGGCGCCTCGCTCATCATGCCCTCCAGGTACTCGTCCGTGGGGTTCTTCCCTGTGGTGAGCGGGCATTGGGGCCTGCTGTCAGCCCCTGACCCTAGCCCGCCCCCTCCTGGCAGTGAGCGGTGGGGACCGACGCAGGAGTGCTGGGAGCTGGGGACACAGCGAGGCTCGGGCCACCTGAGGAGTCACCTCCGACTGGGGGACAGCGGCTGGCAATGCTCACCCTCGGGCGGCTGGCAGCCGCTGTGCCTCGAGTGCCACATGCCTTATTTGGCTCTTACTGCCTTGTACTCGCAGTGTTCTTATCCTTACTTCACAGGCAAGAACAGAGAGGCCAGGGTACTTGTCCAAAGTCTCACAGCAAGTCAGCCATAGAGCCAGAATTGAAACCCAAACAGCCTGGTCCCTGGTTCTAGACACAGTCTCGCTGGCATGAAATCAGTGAGCTCTGGTGCCACACTAGCCTAGCTTTGAATCCCAACTCTGGGTCTCCGTTTCCTGTCTCTTAGATGAATAAGACAATGATTATAAAATGCTCATGACCAACACAACAGCCTTTGGGCTCTGGATTCAGATTCCAAACTCTACCAGCTAGTTATTGTGTGACCTGGGGCAAGTTATTTGGCTTCTCTGAGCCTCTGAAACAGAGGCTCACTGGTACAGCGGGAATGACAGTCCTCCACACAGAGATAGAAGATAATGTCTGGAGAGCTCATTATCTTATGTCTGCTCTTAGTTCTTTTTTAACCTGAGGCTAATGCTCTTAGCTAAGAACTGCTAACGCGAGCCACACATCCAAACATCTGTTTTCTGAGTTGTCATCTGGGGCCGGGGTCAGGTCTAGGGTTTGGGCCTGAAAGCAGAGGGGAGCCCTGGCGGCCCTGTCCCCTCCGTGCGGTGCCTCACCCCCACCGTGACCCAGCACGACCCCAGCCTCTCCTGGCCTTTGTGTTCCCTCTTCCTGAGACCGCAGAGTCCCAGACATCAGCCCTGGAGTTCACGTCTGGGGGGGGGGGGGGGGGTCCCAGTGACTGCAGCAAAGGCGGAGCAGCTCTGGGGGAGGGGAGCATCAGGTCTTTCACGGTGGCACGCCACGTGGGGTGTACAACGGGCAGGGGGCCCATTACACACATAGGGCAATGGCACAAAGCAGTGCCAGGGCCTGACCCAGGCTGTCTGGCTCCTGACCCTGGCGGGTCCCTCACCTCCCCAGGCAGGATGCAGAATATGCCAGAAACAGGGCTGAGAGCAGCCGTGTGGGGGCAGCATGAGCAGGGGTGTGCTGGGGCGGGCTCGGGAGGTCTTCTTTCCGCCTGGGCTCAAGCGTCCCTAGCCGAGCAGTGGGAGAGGGATTTGATTACTGAGCCATTTCAGCTCTAAGATCCTGGCTCTGGAGAGACCCCTGGGGGCAGATCTGGCTTTCCATGGAAGCCTCAGTTTCCTCTCTGCACAACCTCTGCGCAGTTACAGACTTGTTTAAGCGAAATGTTACCGGGCAGCCCGAGACACACAGCCACCCCGACAGTGCCGCTGCACACAGTCAGCCTGTTCAAATCCTGTGCCGGCCCCCAGGGAAAGCCCTGATTTGTTCCGAGCCTCAGTTTTCCTATCTGATCAACAGGCAGTCAGGGAAGTATTGCATGTTTTCTTTTTTTTTTTTGTCTGAGACGCGGACTCTGAACTCAGTACCTGACATTTTCACTCACTGTCTGGAGCTCTACCAGCTGAGCCACACCATCTCTGTAAGTGGCGGGCAGCCCCGCCGGGCCCGGCCCACGCTGCTCACCCAGGGAAGCCAGCATGTCATGCAGGTCCTCCTTGTCAATGAAGCCATCGCGGTTCTGGTCGATCATGTTGAAAGCCTCCTTAAACTCCTGGATCTGGGACTGGTCAAACATGGCGAACACATTGGATGTGGCCCGCTGTGGCCGCTTCTTGGTGGTCTTGGCCTTGGCCCGCTTGCTGGACATCTTGGCTTCGGGTGTGGGGGCTTCCCTGCGGGAGGTGGCGCAGGGCATGACCGTGGGCCAGGGCACTCCCTGCCCTCTCCCAAATGGCCTTCAGCTCTAGTCCTGGCATTCAAGGCCTCCCGCAGGCTTGGGCCTCTTGCCACTCCATCTCAACAAGAGCAGAGAGGCATGGGCTCCCGATCCTGCCACACCAAACTGGAGTGTCCCCATATAGGAAGAGGGGGCATGGGGAGCCCGTGGCGACGGGGCTGGACAGGGCCGGGCCTCTTCCGTGGTGACTTGTTAGGGTAAAACACAGCTGGCTTGGTGCCAGCCATGAACAAGCTTTATCCCCTTAATCCCTGATGGCATGTGAACTTCCACTGCCCCCTCCAAGTGGCAAGGTGGGAAGACGCGGGGCAGCCTGCCCAGCAGCCCCGCATTGCTCACATTCCTCTGCCTCTCCGTCCCTCCACTGGAGGTTCTAGGAGGCTCAGGGCAGTACTAGCGGCCCTGGGAGTGGCTCTCCTCCCTCACTTCCGGTGCTTATGGGGGAAATGAGGCTCCCCAGGCTGAGAACTCAGGTTCTTGTCAACATCTGTCCCCGGGTCTGTAGCCTGCAGCCAGTCTTAGTCATCGCTTCTAGAACTTCACTAGTCACCTTGAAATCCTCACAGGGTCCTGCACCCTCAGAACCAGTGTGCACCCCTCAGCCTGGCACTCAAAAGCCCCAAGGGGCCCTGGCCCCCATTACCTCGTCCCTGTGCGATCTGTTTCCTGTCACACTGAGCATTGGTGCTCCTGGCCTTCCTCCTGAGCCCCCCGCAGCAGCCCCCCACCCCCATGTGCTGTTCCCCCAGCCTCATACTGACAGCAAACACTCGCAGACTCCATCCCCTGGTCATCTCATCCGTGCCTAGCACACCGGCACACGCTTGTTTATCAACTGTCAAAACTGGTCTGGGGCCTCTGCTGCACAGACCAGGAAACGGAGGCCAGCCCAGAGACCCTTTCCCTGAACCCTTGTCTGTGTGCAGGACCAGTGTACCTGAAGACCCACTGCCTGCCGCCTCAGCTGGCGGAGGCCTCAGGACACTGGCCTGCTCTTCACCCCAAAGTGTGTAGTGGGGGGTGCTCCTCAAGCTGCTCCCAGACCTCTACGTCACCTCTAAGTCGCTTGGGTCTTGGCCTTGGAGATCACCAACCCCAAGCTGAGATACTGGCTGGCCCTAGTGTGTCCCCAGAGCCACAGCTGCCCGCACACAGCTCAGCGGGCCCATGCACGACCCATCCAGCCTGGGCGTTTGCTGCATGGCTCCAGGTGGGTGGGTGGGTGGAAGCCTTTCTGAGGGCAGGCATGATCGGGGCTCACCCAGCACCGTGTGTGCCACCACCTGGGCCTGAGCATTCCAGCTGCCCCATCCCCACACACTTCTACTGCTGACCCTAGTGTATAGCAGAGGGCACGGGACTTGGGGGCTGATTTAGGCAATGTCACCATAGCCACCGTGGGATGCAGAGGAGTGAGTTAGGAAAGGAAGAACCACAAAGGGAAATGTGCACTCCTGTCAGAGGGTTAGAGGCCAGCTGAAGCCAAGAACCCTGGGAAGACTTGAGTCTGTGAGTGGCAGACTGGGCCCTGGGTGCCCCCAAGGGCTGAACAGAGGAAACCCCTTGTGCTAAGAGGCTGCCAGTGCATCTACAGTAGCAGAGGGACCAAAGCCTTCGGGGATGTAGGTTGTCTGGGAGCCAGGTAGTCCTAGACCAGCTGGGCCCTTACTTAGCCATGGCCCCCCCCTCCTACAAGCCATAGATATCAAGGACCAGGCACTGGTGGAACCTAGTCTGGCGTTGATTGGAAGGCTCTGAAATCTCGCTGTAACAGCAGACGTGGGGCAGAAGCTAGACCTAACCTGTGCCTCCCGAGCCATCATATCCCCTCCTTCCAGGAGAGCGGCTGGAGGGTTCTGCGGGGCAGGGACCGCCACCTCCCAGCCCAGCCTTGGGCCAGCTCAGTAGACGGCCCGGAGTGGGGGAGCGCGGGGCCCCCGGCGCACAGCACCTGGGAGGGTTCAACCGGCCCCCACCCCTCTCCGGCCCCGGCGTGTGGAGGTGCGCGGATGCTCTGGAGGGAACGGAAACCTCATCGGACACACCGGGGTCCACTGAGCCAGGCGCGCCGGCGAGGGCAACCCCGGGACGACCTCACGCCCTGGCCGGAGGACCCCCGAACCGCCCCAGCCCCGCACCCCGGGGAGGGGGAACCCTAGGCGCGTCACAGCCCACCCCAGCCACGCCAGCGGCCCCTCGCTATCCCGGCCCGGCCCCGCGCCGGGCGGGCTCCCACCTGTGCGGAGAAGAGGCTCTGGGCGCGCCGAGTCTGGCTGGCGGCCGGCGCGCTCCGGCTCGGGGGTCCCGGCGTCGGGGGCGGGGCCTGGGCGGGGCCGGGCGGCGCGGCGGCCCGGCCTTACATGGCAGAAGAATGTGCCTGGCGGACGGGGGCGGGGCCTCGGCGGGGGCGGGGCCCGGTGGGCGGGGCCCCCGCCGCGCGCCCGGCCTTATTTGGCTGGGACTCGCAGGCCGGGAGGCGGGGGCGCCCCCGGGAAAGCGGGGGTCCACCTTTGCTGCCCTCGGTTTGCTGGGGTGGCAGGGGCTAGGGCCACGGAGCAGAGGGAAGTGTCCAGACCCGCAGGGGGGACAGTGTCTGGACCCCCACCTCTCCCCGAGGGGCCCAGCGCGCCCCGTGGGAGGGCTGGTCCGGGTCGCCGGGGAGCGGCGGGTGGCGGGGACCCGCCATCCTCCTGCGCGGGGCCCCACGCTTCCCCTGGCTTTCCAGTGCCCAGTTAGTCACTGTGAATAGTAACGGACACCTGCCACCAGGGCGCCCGGGAGACCGGGGCACGGCAGCATCCGCCCCGGAGGACGGGGGGGTCGGCGGGGCCCCCGCGAGCCCCACCGGGGCTCCGAGCCACGGGAGGGTTATGGGCGCCCTGTCTCCCCGGGTTGAAATCGAAGGGCCGCAGGACGAAACTGGGGACCAGTGAGGAGCTCCTGGGGGTGTTTGGGGGTGGGAGAGGGCGCGGGCTCAGACTGGGGCCGGCGGCAGGGGTGGCGGGAAGAGGGGGGGATCTGGAAACAGCCCGGTGTGTAGCCAGTTGGACTTGCGGGGGATGAGGTGGAGGTGAAGAGGAAGACTCGGCCGAGTCCCAGGATTCTGGTGGGAGGAATCGAGAGGGAGCTGTCATCTTTCAGGTGGAGAGGGCGGAGCAGGTTTGGGATAGACCAACGTCCTCTTTGGGTATGTTTTTCTTTCTTTTTGGGGACTGGGTCTCGCTTTGTAGCCGCGGCCTGCCTGGAGCTTGTGGTCTGCTGGCCTCAGGCTCAGGCCCTGGGCTGAAGATAATACTGAAAAGGCTTAAGTGATTTCAAACTTACAATAAAGTTATAAGAAATGTAGGAAGAATAGCCCTCCTCTAGATTCTCCAGTTAATACTTGCCTTTATTACGTTCTCTTCCTTATCCTTGTATTTGAGGGAGGAAACTGCATGTTCCACACCCTTGATCCTTAGGTACTTCAGGATCTCCTAAAAAGGAAATTCTATGTCCCTAGTAAGGCTCAAAATCAGGAAACTTAAATAGCAATTCGGCTATCCAATTTATGGCCCAAGTCCCCTTCTGCCGCTGTTTCGTACTGTCCCTTATAGAAAATTTTCTGTTCCAGGGTCTGGTCCAAAATCGTGTTGTCATGTTTGTAGTCTGTCTGCTTTTCGGTCTGTCTCTGTAAGTATACACATCCAGTCTTTGCCATCTGCGCCATGTTTTCAATGCTCACTCTGTTGTTATGCACTGAATGAATTCTTTTTTTTTTTTTGGTCCGGTCATGGGGTCTTGAACTCTGGGCCTGGGCGCTGTCCCTCAGCTCTTCAGCTCAAGGCTAGCGCTCTACCACTTGAGCCATAGAGCCACTTCCGGCTTCTTTTTTCTTTTTTTTTGCTTATGTGGTACTGGGGAATCGAACCCAGGGCCTCAGGCATGCAAGGCAAGCGCTCTACCACTGAGCCACCTTCCCAGCCCATCACTAAGTGAATTCTGCACATTGAACAGGAACTCCCCATGTCCCCCTTTTCCCCACACTCTGGATGCCACCATTTAACTTAGTCTTTCTCTGAGTCTGATTTCTCTGGGACCCTTGTATAAGTGAACTCACACGGCGTCCATCCTGTGACTGGCTTATTTTGTGTGGCAAATGTTCCCAGGGATTATCCATGTTTAACACGAATTGAACCAGGGCCTCACAAATGCCAGGCAAGTGCTACCAGTGGGCACTGCCCCTCAGCTCTTCAGCTCAAGGCTAGCACTCTACCACTTGAGCCACAGAGCCACTTATGGTTTTATGGTGGTTAATTGAAGATGAGAGTCTCATGGACTTTCCTGCCCAGGCTGGCTTTGAACCATGATCCTCCAATCTCAGTCTCCTGAGTTACTAGGATTATAGGCATGAGCCACCAGTGCCCAGCTTCAATCTGTGGTTTTATTTTCTTTCCTTCTTTCCTTCCTTTTTTTAAAAAGTAGTTTTGGGGCTTTGAACTCAGGTCCTTGCACTTGCTCACAAGGCACTCTACCACTTGAGCCATGCTTCTAGCAGTGTTTTTTACATTTTTTGACTGTTCTTGGAAGCACAGGTGTTTTTCACTTGAAGTTTAGATGAGTACTTTTTTTTTTTTTTTTTGCATGTGATTTGGTGCCATATCAATAAACTGTTCTGTTGAGACGCATTCAAAAATTAGATGTTGGTCAGTAGTAGGGACTTACTCTTGACCTCTGAGTTCTGGGTCACTGGTATATAATACATACACACACACACACACACACACATATATGTATATACCTTTTTTGCCAGCACTTGTTGTTTTTATTATTTTTAAGAGTTGTACAGAGGAGTTGCCATTTAACAAAGCTGTTTATGAATACAATATATCTTATTTATTTATGTATTGTTCGTCATGGGGCATGAACTCTGGGGCTGGGCTCTGTCCCTGAGCTCATGGCTAAGTGTTCCACCACTTGAGCCGTAGCATCAATTCTGGTTTTCTGGTTTATTGGAGATAAAAAGAGTCTCATGGATTTTCCTGCCTGGGCTGGTTTGAACCATGATTCTCAGATCTCAGCCTCCTGAGTAGCTGGGATTACAGGCCACCAGCACCCAGCTTAATACAATATATCTTGATCAGTGTTACCCCTTTCAACATTCTTACTCATCCCTCCCCTTTGCACTCTCCCCCTGTGTGTGTGTGTTTGTGGGCTGGCTCTGAATCACAATCCTCAGATCTCAGCCTTCTGAGTAGCTACGATTATAACGAAAGCCAGCAGGTTCCAGCTACACTGGATTCTGCATTTCTTCCTTCTCATGTATACATCCTTTCCCCTTGGCCCATGTCACCTCTTTGGAGTACCTGCTTCCTGGTGTTTTATTTTTGTATTGAGTGTTGAAATTGTGAAGTGTATTGTCCAGCTTTTTCATCAAAATTGCTTTGGCTCTTTGGGGCACTGGGCATTCCTATATAAAATTCAGGCTCAGTTTCTGCAGAAACATTTGGGGCCATGAGGTACCTTTCCATTTAATTGCATCTTTGTTGTAGTTTTCATTGTTCATTCTGTTAAATTTATTCTGAAGTGCTTTATTTTTGATGATTGTGTATGTGGAGCTTTCAGAATTTTATTTTCTTTGGTAGTTGAACTGTTTTTATTCATGCCACTTTTTTTTTTTTTTTTTGGTATGCTAGTACTGGGACTTGAATTCAGGGTCTCCAGTGCTCACTTGACTTTTCCAATCAAGGCTAAGCTTTGATTGGGACTCTACTACTTGAGCCATACTTTCTCTTCTGGCTTCTTGGTGGTTAATTGGAGGTAAGAGTCTTTTGGACTTGGCTGCCTGAACTGGCTTCAAACAGTGATCTTGAGATTTTAGCCTCCTGAGTAGCTAGGGTTTTTTGTTTTTGTTTTTGGCTGTGGGGCTTGAACTTAGAGCCTGGGCAACCTGAGCTCTTTTTGCTCTACCACAGCTCCACTTCCCATTTTCTGGTGGCTAATTGAAGATAAAAGTCTCACAACCATTCCTACCTGCCCTGGCTGGCTTTGGCCCATAATGCTCAGATCTCGGCCTCCTGAGTAGCTAGATTACAGGAGCAAGGCATCGGTGCCCAGCATCGGTGCCGTTTTGGAGATTCTACTCTCTGCTAGACACTGAGTCATGATGAAAAACTCAATTCCTGCCTAAGAAGCCCACTGTCTCCTGAGCAGAGACAGATATTGAAATGGAGAACGTCCTCACAGCAGTGGTAGAGACAGACTGTGGCTCGGGCATCAAGTGTAGAGCAGGAGCATTGACCTGGGTGAGGGTGCTGGGGTCCTTCCCTCAGGATTTGCCCTTTGACCTTAAGGAAGAACAGGCACTGAGTGGAAGGTGGTCACAGGGCAGCGTGTGACTTGGCATTATGGAAAACGAAGGTGGTAATGCCATTGTGTTCAGGCAGGAAATGCCCTGTTCTTAGACTTGCACAATGTATCTTTTAGCTAAGAGTAGAGGCCTAGACTCTTCGGGATCCCCTTCCCTATATTTCTGGCATGAAGAGAGTAGGACCCCCACCGTCAGCCATCCTATGCTACAGCAGGAACATGCAGGCGCCGAACAGCTGAGGGGCCAACCTCAGCCCCAGGGCCCATGTGGTATGGCTCCAAGTGGAGCTGGGCCTCCCTCCTGCCATCACACACACACACGGCTGCCTCAGGAATACAGGGTTGGCCCAATGAAATGGAAAACCAGCTGGGAGTTGGCGGCTCATGCCTGTAAATCTCAGGAGGCTGAGATCTGAGAATCGCAGTTCAAAGCCAGCTGGGGCAGAAAAGTCCCCATGGAACTCCTATCTCCAATTATCACCAGAAAACCAGAAGTTGTGCTATGGCTTGAAATGGTAGAGCAGTAGCCTTGACCAAAAGAGTTCAGGGATAGTACCCAGGCCCTGAGTTCAGACCTCATGAATGATAAGGAAAAAAAACCCCACAAAACAAATGGGAAACCACTTACCTTTGGTTCTCTTAGGAGGGTGCCTGCAGCAGGAACCCGACAAGATGTCCCCAATGCTCTGGGGTCTTGCCCCTAGCCGGGTCGGGTCTGGAGGTCAGGGGTGATGGCACCACTCACAATTGTGCTGTGACACCACCCCAAGCACAGGTTCCCCAGCTACAGTGGAGGGCTTCCAAGGGGTCCAGCTGCACACAAGTCTGGGAAGGGGATCTATGTGTCTGTGCCTCAGGTCTTGGGTTACTGCTGGGCTGGGCCAGGAGTGAAGACTGGGTGTCTATGGTTCCAGAGTGGCCCAAGAATCTTTTTTTTTTTAGATGGGAGGAGGGGAGCTTTGCCCAGGCTGGTATTGAACTCACAATCTTGTCTCTCCCTATTAGCTAGGCTAACAAGGCTGTACAAACTTTCTGAACAGCATGTTCCTAGCACAGGGTTTGTGGGGGTGTGGGTGGAATGAGTTGGCCAGCACCTGAGTAAGCTGGGCTAGAATACTCCTGCCCACACTCACTTGGGTGGTGCTCCCAGCGCCTGCAGCCTCATCTGGTACCTGGCATGGTCCTGAGCTCATCCATGCCAGGTGCGTGGCCTCTTGGGCCATGTGACTTCTGAGGGCAGTGTGGGAGGCCTGGCCCAGGGACTGGGCCTCTAAGTGTACTGGGGCACCAACTGCTGGGGGGGGCACACAGAGTCTGGGCTTGGAAGTGGGGCGTCCGTCCAGCTTCTGCAGCAGTAAGTGAAACGCTTATTTCTCATCGGAAGTGCTCCTGATGTGACAATGAGCTTCGTTTCCAGCCTGGATCACAGACTAGAACCCCCAGAGCTAGCATTACCCGACGTACTGAAGTCACCTGACTCCCCCAAGTCCTGCCTTAACATGAGGTCACCACACTCCTCACCCTCACCGGCCCCTGGCACTGCAATAACACCACGAGCCCGGAGTACACGTTACCGCATTTATTCTCACAACATGCCTGTGAGGTAGGGAGGGGCAGGGACTGTCCCCATTTTACAGAGGAGGAAGTTGAGGCACACAGAGGTCAAGTGACTTGCCCAAGGTCACAGACGGCCAAGCTGGAAGGGGGCCCCAGAGCAGGCCCTTGCTTCACCTGGGGGAAGCCCTGCAGCATGCGCCTGACAAGATGTCCCGATGCCCTGGAGTGGTGGGCTCAGCACGGAGCAGCGCCTGGTGTGCTGAGTGCTCTGCTGGGTGCAGCCAGCCCCTGCCAGGCCCCCTCCCCACCCCGCCCTGCAGGCCCTGCCTTCAGCTCAGGGCTCAGAGGGGGGTGGGGGTGGGGGGAGGAGAGGAGGAAGAGGAGGACTGGGGAAAAATACGAAGGAACAGAAAACTCAGGCGGGGCCGAGGGACCGAGGAAGGGGAGTGGGAACTGAAAGGGGGAAAAAAAGGGGGGGGCTGCTTACACACGAGGGATATATTTTTACACACACTTGTACACACACCTAGATATAGTACATGTAAAAATATATGCTATTCACACCCTCGCCTCCTGCCAGGTGCCCCTAGAGCCGGTGGTGGCGGCGCTGCGGCATGGTGACAGACGGGCGTTAGTGAAATATACACTCTGGGGTCTATGTACATATGTACACATACGTACAGACACTGCCGCCCGCCCGCCGGGCTGCACGCCAGTGTGCCCCTCCCCCCAGGCCGCTGCCAGTCCTACATTTTCCTTTGCGGAAGGAAGGGGCTTGGAGAGAAGAAAAAGGCCTAGAGTCTGGAGTCCGCTCGCTTCCCCACGGACTAGAACTTTCCCCATCCGTTCAGAGAAGCATCAGGCCTGGCCCTGCCCCGGTGGCTGGAAGCCGCAGAAGGAGGCGTCTGTGGGGTGCACTGGAGGCCGAGGGCGGAGGCTGTGTGTGAGCACTTGGTGGGGTCGGGGAGGGGAGGGGAGGATGCGTGTCCATCTGTCTGTCCTCTGGACTCTCAACCCCACAGGGCTGGGAACTAGAAAGCCGCTGGCCATGCTGGTGACCCCTGTGTGAGCTCTGAAGGGAAAAGAAAAAGGTGAGAACGCAAACTGCGGGGCGGGAGGGGGGCCGCTGGGGGAAGGGGGGGCTCGGCAGGGGCCCCGAGGCTGCCCTTGGACGGTCGGCGTCTTGTAAACACGCGAGTGGAAGTTCTCCTCGGACAGAACAAGTAAAAAGACTGACTGCATGTGGAGCTGGGCCGGGAGCTGCCGAAGTGCGGCTGTCTGGTCCGCCAGGGCCAGCCAGAGGGAGAGAAAGGTTTTCATTTTGTGGTTTCGGTGGACGTTTTTCTGTGTGTGAGAAGTCTCCAGAACCTACAGCTCGGAGGGACCCAAGAAAGCCAAATGGTGAGCCCTTGTATGCGTCAATTTGAAAAGTTGGCTCAGGGTCTCTAGAGAGAACCACACTAGAGGTTGAGAAAATTCCCTTCCGTTCGCATTCCGTTCTTGTGTGTGTTGTTTAATGATTTGAAGTCGCTTTGCTTCCTCCTGCCGGGTCTCAGAGCCTGGTCTGGGCCTCGGGGACGTAGATCTCGATGCTGTCCGCGCTCTCTGTGGCCGAGTTCTGCCGCACAGACGCCGCCCGCTTGGCCGCCAGGAGTCTCTTGCGGGCCTCCTGCCGCTGCTTGTCCCCCGCGTCCGAGGCCTTGTCGCGGCTCATGGCCGGCTTGGACTTGGCTGGCTTCTTTGGGACTGGAGGGGGTGGCTTCTTCTCTTCCTTTAGGAGATAGCGAAGAGGGTAGGGAAATAAAATAAAGGCGCCACGCTTCCTGTGGCACTACCCCCTGCTACAGGCTGGCAGCCGGCGTCTCCCGCCCCGCCTCCCCACACCCGGCACAGGCAACACGAGTGGGAGGCAGGAGGCCACAGAAGCAATGACGGTGGGCGGAGCGCAGGCACGGGGGCAGAAAGCAAGCTCAGAATCTACCACAGCCTAACGGGAGGGGACAGACAGATCCCAGCCCCCCCCTGCTCCCACCCAGGCCCGGGGGAGCTTGAGCCTCAGGCAGGAGCTAGGCAGTCACCCAGCCCGACAGGTAACTTACATTTAGGGCTCTGCCTCCCTGGTCACATTTCACATGCTGCCCTATCAGAGCCCAAAGGTGCCCCTGGCATAAAGCAGGAGTCCTGAGCCTCAGGGCTGAGCCACAAGGAGGCTGAACTGGGTCCAAACCCCAGTACCCTGGCAGCATAGCCCCGGGAGAAGGGGCCATGTTGCTGCCTCTGCTAGTGCCCGTGGGCAGGTCTCCCGTGACCACCCCTCCCCCTTCTGGACATGCAGGGCGGGAGGGCATGCTTCCACGCAGCCTTCCACTACAGAGCGAGTGGCATGCTGGACGCGTGCCAGGCATGGACCCCGCACAAAGATGGACGTGAGCCCCAGCTCAAAGACGACATACGGAGAAGGGAGCCAAGCAGCACTGACCGATGTGGGCAGCGTTATTGCCGACCAGGAATTTGTCCCTGGACTTCCCCTCCGCACTGCTCCATGCTCACCTTCCTCTTCTCCGGGGGCTCCACCAGCTGCCAGCTGTTGGCCTTGAGGTGGTAGAGTTCATCGAACTTCATGCTGATGTCCTCGATGGACAGCTGAAGCAGGTCCCAGAACCCTGCCAGGTCCTGGGCTGTTGGACGTGGGTTGGCGTCAGGGTTCTGTGGGGCACACGGAGATCAGTGGGGCCACCCAGGCACAAGCTAATCTCACCCCTGCCTTGTGCACGGTACCTAGTCCTGCTGGCACTGGATTGAGACTCTTTTGTGGGGGGCCAGAGAGAAGGGAGGTGCTGGTCCTGGAGCATGAACTCAGGGCCTGGGCACTGTCCCTGAGCCGTGCTCAAGGCAATGCTCTACCACTTGAGTCACATGGCCTCTTCCGGTTTTTTGATGGTTAATTGGAAATAAAGAGTCCCATGAGCTGTTTTCTTTTTTACCTGGTCCTGGAGCTTGAACTCAGGGCCTGGGCACTGTCCTTGAGCCTCTCTGTGCTCAAGGCTAGCGCTGTACCACTCGAGACACAGTGCCACTTCTAGCTTTTTCTGTGTATGTGGTACTGAGGAATCGATCCCTGGGTCTCATACATGCAAGGCAAGCACTCTACCACTGAGCCATCTTCCCAGCCCTCCCATGAACTTTTGTGCCTGGGCTGGCTTTGAATTGCATTCCTCCCATCTTAGACCTCCTGAGTTGGTAGGATTACAGGCATGAGGCACTGGTGCCTGGCTGAATTGGGACCTTTCAGGCCCAGTCCTATTCTTTTTTTTTTTTCCTGCCAACTCAGGGACTTGAACTCGGGGCCCTTGTTCATAGCTGGCCCTCTAACACATGAGCCACACCTTCACTTCAGAGTTTTTGTAGCCTAATTGGAGATGAGTCTTGTGGGTCTTTCTTTTCCCCCTTCTGCTTGGGCTGGCTCTATACCTTGATTCTCAGATCTCAGCCTCCTGAGTGGCGAGGATTATAGGTGTAAGCCACTGAGGCCTGGCTGAGGCCTGCTCTTTTGTTCCCAGGTCCAGGTCAGGATCCGTGTATTTGTGTGTGTGTGGGGGGGGAGGGGAATAAAGCCAGTTCCTGGTCAATACCAGTATGGGTGGCAGGCCTCCTTGGAAATGTGCCCTCGTGAGAACAGGCCCTGCACACATGCGCAGAGGCCACTGCCAGAGCCACCAGCAGAGGGCTGGGGTAAAAAACAACAACGAAACAAAATACCCAAAGACCTCCAGTTTCCACATATGTCAGGCAGGCAAGCAAGGCTCGCATTTTACAGGGAGGAAGCATACTCTGGGCGGGAGGGGGGGGGGAGCAGTGAGGAGGGGCCGCGGTGTGGACCTTTGGAGGTGATCTTGCCACTGTCCTCGCAGCAGGAACTCACAGTCCTGGCTTAGCAGAGAGAGTCTTTCTGCGGGAAATACTGCCAAAGACTCGACTCTGCTTCTGGCCCTGGCAGAGGGAAGGAGAAGAAAGCCCACTAACCAAGTGGTGGTGTTTTATTTAGTTCTTATCTTGAGTGTCCTCTAGGATACAGACTATTTAAATAAGGCAGGACAAGCCCAGAGCACAAGTGGAGCTCAAACCTATAATCCTAGCTACTCAGAAAGTAGAGATCAGAAAGGTTATGGCTCAAGATTAGCCCAGGGTAAAAAGGGAGACCTCATCTTAAACAATATGTAGGTCTTGTGGCGTGTCATCCATGTTACGTGGGAAAAGAAGATAGGAGGATTTTATGGTCCAAACTGGCCAAGATCAATTAAAACACACACACACATACACACACACACCACCACCACCACCACCACTACCACCACCACCACCTAAACCCCACAAGACCATTTAAAAATAATGCAAAAAGGATTGGAGGTGTGTGGGCCAAGTGGTAGAGTGCCTGTCTACCAAGCACAAGACTGATTTGAAACCACAATACCATAAAAATGGATAAATAAAGGCTGACTTCACCTTTCATGGGGCTGCTTTACACTGGCTTCAAGGCTCTATTTCGGGAGGGCCCGGGCAGCTCTCTCATGGGCTAGTACTGCCATATTCCAGTGCCTGGAGGAAGCAGCACCATCCCCATCTATGGAGGAGGTCCTGTGGGCTGCAAGGGGCCAGCTGGCAGAGCCCTGGCCAGCTGGAGCCCTATATGGAGGAAGAAGAGTCACACTCACCAAGTTCTGCTCACAGAGGCCCCGGAACTGCTGGAATTTCTGGGACATCAGGAGCTGGGCACTGCCCACAGCACTGAGGACCTTTCCTAAGACTGAGCAAGAGAGGTAGAAAAAGAACAGCTGAGCAGAGCACAGGTGTGCCGGGGTGAAGGGTGGGGCAGAATAACACGTCATTATCATTTGGTGATGGGACCAGGTCTTCATTTTGTTTACACATTAAGCCATTCTTTTTTTTTTTGGTTGGTCGTGAGGCTTGAACTCTGGGCCTGGACTCTGTCCCTCACTCTATCAGCTCAATTCAAGCACTCTTACCACTTGAGCCACAGAGCCAACTCTGGTTTTCTGGTGGTTAACTGGAGGTAAGCGTCTGACAGACTTTCCTGCCCAGACTGGCTTTGAACCTCGATCCCCAGATCTCAGCCTCCTGAGTAGCTAGGATTACAGGGGTGAGCCACCGGTGCTCAGCCATTAATCCATTCTTATTGGGAAAAATTCAAACAATGCAGGTAAAAGTAGATGCCACCTCTAGTTCCTAATGACATTTTTATGGTGATTAGAAAACTGAGCTATAATGGAAAAAAATTTCGGAAGAACTAAAGTTGAAAAGAAGAAATAAAGACCAGATGGCCCCCATCTGTAATACCAGCACTTGGGAAGCTAAGGCAGGAAGATTTTGAATTTGAGACCAGTCTTGGGCTCCAACTGAGATTCTGCTCAAAAAACAAAAAGTGAGACTTATCTCCAATAAACTACTTAGAAAAAGCTGGAACTGGAGCTGTAGCTCAAGTAGTAGAGTGCTAGCCTTAAGCTAAAGAAGCTCAGAGACACAGCTCAGGCCCAATGTTCAAGCCCCAGAACTGGCCAAAAAAAAAAAAAAACAAAAAACTGGGCACAGTGACTCACACCTGTAATCCTAGCTACTCAGGAGGTTGAGCTCTGAGGATCACAGTTCAAAGTCAGACCAGGCAGGAAAATCCATGAGACTCTTATCTCTAACTACAAAAAACAAAAACAAAAACAAAAACAAACTGGAAGTGGAATTGTGATTCAAATGGTTTAGTGCTAACCTTGAACAAATAAGTTCAGGGACAGTAACCAGGCCCTGAATTCAAACCCAGAACCAGCATTAAAAAGAAGAAGAAGAAGAAAAAAAAGAATACTAATATAGTTATACTAATGTTAGAATGGACTCAAGTATAAATCTAGATGTAAACACTGATAAGCGGTTCAATTTGCTTATAAATTTCCTAACTTATAAGCATCTAATAACAACATGGCACAGTCAATGAAACAGACTTTTCAGCCATAAGAAATAGGATAAATCTGGGGCTGGGAAGGTGGCTCAGTGGTAGAGCGCTTGCCTTGCATGTATGAGGCCCTGGGTTCGATTCCTCAGCACCACATAAGCAAAAAAAAAAAAAAAAAAAAAAAGCCGGAAGTTGTGCTGTGGCTCAAGTGGTAGAGCGCTAGCCTTGAGCTAGCCCAGGCCCAGAGTTAAGGCCCATGACCGGACCCCCCCCCCCCCAAAAAAGAAATAGGATATATCTTAAAGAACCAGTCATACACAGAATGCTTTGCAGCAGTAACTTAAATAGGTTAGAAACCTAGTATGTATGTATGGATGGGGAAAGATGAGGGAAAAAGAGGCATTATATTCATAATGACTAGCTGAATTAAAACCTCTTTGTACAACTATTAAAAAAATAAAATTATGAAAATGTAATAAACCTCCGTGTGTTACAAACAAAAACACACTTGTCTAAATAAAATGATCAAAGAAATCACAGTGGAAATTACTTATAATTTATAGCTAATATGGCACTTAAAGAGAAAAGAATAAAACTGGGTGCCACTGGTTCACACTTGCAATCCTAGCTATTCAGGAAGCTGAGATCTAGAGAATCTTGGTTCAAGACCAGTCTAGGGAGTAAAGTCCATGAGACTCCAATGCCAATTAACTAGCAAAAAACGAGGGCTGGAGACATGGCTCAAGTGGTAGAGTACTAGCCAACCAAGTGACAAGCCTCTGAGTTCAAATCTCAAGTACTGCCTATCCCCTTCAACACCCCCCAAAAGAGGAAGGCATAAATCTTATTTCATTTAAATAAATTTATTTAAATAAATCTTATTTTATTTATTTTTTTGTCAGCCATGGGGCCTGAACTCTGGGCCTGGGCGCTGTCCCTCAGCTCTTCAGCTCAAGGCTCTACCACTTGAGCCACAGCACCACTTGTGGTTTTTTTCTGCTTATGTGGTGCTGAGGAATTGAACCCAGGGCCTCATGCATGCGAGTCAAGCAGTCTACCACTGAGCCACCTTCCCAGCCCTAAATCTTATTTTAAAAAGACAAGCAATCTGGAATTCAGATTTAATATCTGGAATTTAGGGTTACACCAAGGGAGACCCAGCACTGGAAACATCCAGGGAAGCACATTCAATGGAGCAAAGACTAAAGCAGTTTTCAGATGTATGTGAGGAGAGTTGGAGCTCAGGATCTGCCATGGATGAGGGCCTCGGTAAGGATCTGCCATGGATGAGGGCCTCGGTAATACTATGGTTCTCCCTGGGACTGCAGGAAGGATGCATCCTGGACTAAGGGGAAATTACAAAAGAGATAAACTGTCCCTGGGTGCCACAGGCTCATACCTGTAATCCTAGCTACTCTGAATGCTGAGATCTGAGGATCATGGTTCAAAGCCAACCTGGTGGAGAAGTCTGTGAGGCTCCTACCTCCAACTACCACAAAAAGCTGGAAGTGGAGGTGTGGGTCAAGTAGTAGAGTGCTAGCTTTGAGCAAAAATAGCTCAAGGAAAATGCCCAGACCCTGAGTACCCAGTACCACCAGCCCTAGTACTAGCACACACACAAAAAGATAATCTGTCACAAAATCCCAGCTCTCAATATGCTCAATCCCATTAACTGATCTGACTATTCTAATTTGCCTGCAAAAAACAAAAATTCATCCTTTCTTATACAGCAGAAAATCATTTCCAGCTTTAAATTATTTCTAGGCTTTTTAAAGGCAATACTGTTTTGAACTTAGGGTCCTCGACCACTTGAGTCATCTCTCTAGTGCCTTTTGCTGTTTTTTTGGAGACCAACTATAATGGACCTTTCTGTCTGTGCTGCTCTGAACCTTTTTTTTTTTTTTTTTTTGGGTTGGTCGTGGGGCTTGAACTCTGGGCTTGGGCGCTGTACCTACGCTCTTCAGCTCAAGGCAAGCACTCTACCGCTTGAGCCACAGCACCACTTCCGGTTTTCTAGTGGTTTATTGGAAATAAGAGCTCACAGACTTTCCTGCCCAGGCTGGCTTTGAACCGTGATCCTCAGATCTCAGACCCCTGAGTAGCTAGGATTCCAGATGTGAGCCACCGGCGCCCGGCTTCTTTAGTTTTTATACACAGACTTTGACACTGAATAAAAATTACCAAGTATAGTAGGTGAGAAAATCAAACAACTACATATCCAAACAAAAAACCTCCTGGAGATACAGATATGAATTACTTTAAAATAACTGTGAACATATACAAGAGCCAGGCTCTGGTGCCTCACAACTGTAATTCTAGCTACTCAAGAGGCTGAGAGCTGAGGTTCATGGTTCAAAGCCAGCCTGGGCAGGAAATCTCATAAAACTCTTATCTTGGGCTGAGAAGGTATCTCAGTGGTAGAGTGCTTGCCTCGCATGCATGAGGCCCTGGGTTCGATTCCTCAGCACCACATAAGCAGATAAAGCCGGAAGTGGCACTGTGGTTCAAGTGGTAGAGCGCTAGCCTTGAGCTGAAGAGCTGAGGGACAGCGCCCAGGCCCAGAGTTCAAGCCCCGCGACTGAAAAAAGCAAACAAAAACCTCCAAACATGTACCAGAATATAAAGGCAAGATGAAATTCACTAGGAAACCAGAATTTATTAGACTATCAAGTGAATAATCTAGACTAAAAAAAGTTAGAATACAACCATGGGTTTGATAGATTCATTGCTGAACTATGAAATAATCCAGCAGGAAAATCTAGACTAAGTTCTAAAAAAAAAATAGAAAAAAGAAAAAAGATGTCACACAGTCTAGCTCATGTGTGACTGGAATCTAGAGAGAAGAAAACGGAATGGAAATTTGTGGACTAGACAAAGCTTTCTGAAACCAATGAATGCTATTAAAATTGAATCTCTGGGCTGGGAAGGTGGCTCAGTGGTGGAGCACTTGCCTCACATGCAAGAGGCCCTGGTTCGATTCCTCAGCACCACATAAAAAGAAAAAGCTGAAAGTGGCGCTGTGGCTCAAGTGGTAGAGCATTCGCCCTGAGCTGAAGAGCTGAGGGACAGCGCCTAGGCCCAGAGTTCAAGCCCCAAGACTGACAAAAAAAAGTATAAGAATTTTCTTTCCTTCCTGAAGGGAAGTCTAGGCTGGCCTGAAACTTGTCACCTTACTTCTTCTACCTCTTGAGTGCTGGGATTATAGGTGTGTGCCATCACGCCTGGCACAGAAATTTGATATTGGTAACTGCATATTAGTGTCCTTTGTTTTCTTCATAATCTATCTGTCTGTCTGTCTGTCTGTCTGTCTGTCTGTCTGTCTGTCTATTTATCTATCTATCTATCTATCTATCTATCTATCTATCTATCTATCTATCTATCTATCTATCTATATACATATACATATACATTGCCAGTCCTGGGGCATGAACTCAGGGCCTGGGCACTATCCCTGAGCTTCTTTTACTTAAAGCTAGCACTCTACCACAGTGCCACTTCTGGCTTTTTCTGTGTGTGGGGTACTGAGGAATCGAACCCAGGGCCTCATGTGTGCTAGGCAAGCCATCTACATCTAAGCCACCTTCCCAGCCTCTTGGTAAGGTTTTTATTTTGTCTGGGAGCTGTCCATGGGAGCCACTTTCAACAAGTCCTGCCCAGTCGAGCTGCAGGTCAGCTTCTTAGTACCTCAATCATGTTTATCCTCATTTTATTTAGCTTTTTGGTCGGTCATGGGCTTGTACTCTGGGCCCAGGCTTGGCCCTGAGTTCTTCAGCTCAAGGCTAGTGCTCTGCCACTTGAGCCACAGCACCACTTCTGGTTTTCTGATGCTTCATTGGAGATAAAGA